AAGTATATCATTCGACGCGCCGGAGCGAGGCGAACACGATGCTGCCAAAATCGGCGCTCTGCGGCCGTTTTTTGCGAAGATATTCACCAAAAACTGAACCGTACCCTGAGGCACTTGACCTGACCTCAGAGGTCACCGGATGACCTAGGACCTTAAAATCGGGTACCAATCTCTGCGTCTCGTAACGGCGCACACGCTCGTTTTTTCCGCGACGCGCTAGCTCCACCAGGGGCGAAACGGCGAGGGGGGGGTCGTACCCACCCACCCCCCCCCCCTCGGCCGGCGCGTATGTAGAAAACCAATAGGTCCGGCGAGGGTTAAAACTTGGTTGCGCCATGAATAACTATCAGATATGGAATCAGGAGCTCAAAATACATTGAGTGGTGTGGTTTTTATAATCACCTTGTTGATCGGACCTTATGTATATAAATACCAGGACCCCTCGCGCGTAAAACTAAATAAAATGCTTTTTTTTATAAATTTAGTCCGAACCTTTTGATAGGAAGGATTCACAAGGACAGAGCCACCGCTAAGGGAAGCTTGTTGCGGTTACCCTGCCCTCTACCCTCCGATCGCGCAATTCCAGTTCTATGGCAGAATTTAGAGTCCAAAGTTTAACGTGCGCATATAGCCGCGCACGGCCGGTCCCCTCACTGACTTCGCCTGGCTACGGCCTGCCACCAACCGCAACCATACCTGTCAGGAGGCCCATAAATGTCGAGCGCCCGTCGCGCTTCGAACCCGGACTGTTATAACCGGGAACGCGTGCTCTCACCACGCGGAGTCCAACGCTCTACCAACTGAGCTACGGGACCGGCTACTGAGCTACGGGACCGGCTGACTGAGCTACGGGACCGGCTAATAAAATAACTAAATAAACTAAATAAATAACTAAATAAACTAAATAAAATAAAACTAAATAAAACTAGTGCCTCCTCAAATACGTTTTGAAAAAGCGCCGCAGAAGTCCCCCACAGACGAAACCGTCCCGCCCAAACTACACATATCCGCAGACCACCCGCTCACCACCACACACTTGCCCAATATATCTACATTACCTCAGTTTGTTGTTGTCTCTCCTTGGAGCACAAATCAACATGATCCGAGTCCTCAACACTGACGCAATGCGGGTGGCCGCTTCGCGCGGGCCACCGGGCCAGTCTCCGGGGCTGCAGCGATGTATCAGCGCTGGAGTGGCGTGTAGCCAAGCCCGCGCAGCTGCTGCAGGGAGTTGACTCTCGTTCCCACACCGTGCTGCTTCTCCTTGAAGAAGACCTGGCCACCGCGAGTGTAGACTGTAAAAATCTTCTTTTCTCGCTTGGCGGCCAGGAGAGACTGGAAGATGCTGCTCCGCAGCTTGGTCGTTGATGAACAAGTCCCTCCCCCGCAACTCGAGACGCCGGCTCATCACTACGTCGCGCACACTACCTTGTCCCGACTGCACAAAACGCACGATGACGCGATTGCTCGGGCCCGGAAGCCGATGCGCTCGGTCGATGTCTTTTAAAAGTTCATGCAGAGTCTGGGCATGCACTGGTTCAATGTCGACACTACGAGCGCGTTCACGTCCTCTCTGTCTCCCCACGTGTCACCGCGAGCCGAGGACCGGTCACGCGTGTCACGCCGCTCGCCACCAGCACCGGCCGCACACTGACCGGCTCCGCCCTCCTCGCCGGCCCGGCGGTCAGCTGATCGTGACTCCACCGCGCGTCCCGGGTCAGGTCCCGGCCAAGATAACTTTACTGGTCCCGGCTGCCCGGCCGGCACCGCCGCGGGCGAGCCGCCCGGCGAGGCGCCATGGCTGGGCCGGAGAGCACGAGACAGGGCAAGCGAGATTTGATTTCAGTCGGGGAAACTATGGTAAAATCTGCTATTTTTAGCAGTCTGCTATTTTTAACAGAAATCTGCTAAAAATGGGTACGCATGTGACGTCATCGTACCCAAATATAGCAGATTTGGGTACGGCCCCATACAAAAGCAGATCTGCACCCTAATTGAAGAAAATGCGCATCAAATGCATGGCAGATTCATGATTAGAATAGTGCTGAGAATGTCCTCTAATATTTTTGTTCAGATCCGACTATTTTAAAATAATGAATTTGAAAATAGTCGGATCTGAACAAAAATAGCAGAGATCACTCTCAGCACTATTCTCATCATGAATATGCCAGGCATTTGATGCGCATTTGCTTCAATTAGGGTGTAGATCTGCTTTTGTATGGGGCCGTACCCAAATCTGCTATATTTGGGTACGATGACGTCACATGCGTACCCATTTTTAGCAGATTTCTGTTAAAAATAGCAGATTGCTAAAAATAGCAGATTTTACCATAGTTTCCCCGACTGATTTCGGCATCCTCGACGCGCGCTTGTACCTAGAACCGAAATCTCCTGTCTTGACTGGCGAAGGTCGTCCGATAGCCGATCTATAATGTTGTCCCGTTCCTCGACGTGATGCTCGAGATCCTGAACGCGACCGAGAAGCTTCTCGATCTGAGCCGACATCCTCTCGCGGAACTCGTGGAGGTCTCTGGAGAGGGATGTGGTGACACGCTGCTCCAGATCCTCCACTGCGGCGTCCAGCTCATCCCTGAAACTCCTGCCTCCCTTACTGCTCAGGCTGGACGGGCTTCGCGTGGGCTCGCCGCTGCACTCTCGGGCGCCACGCTTGCCCGCCGGGGCCTGGTCGCCCGATTCTGAGCGGTCACGCTTTTGGCCGTCGACTGGTGCGTCGCCGTAAGCCCTCACGAGCTGACTCACGGACTGTCGTTCGCCGGCGCCAGTCGGCTGGTCCGTGCTGGTTGAGTTGTCAAGGGCCTCAGACTCGGCGCCGACCGCACGGGACGCAGCATGGCTCGCGCGCCACGTCACTGGGTCAGTCGCGACACAGAGGAAAAAACACTCGACTCGAGAAACTGCGAGTTCCGTTCCCAAAGTGAGCTTAGAAAGTAAGCATGAAGCTTGCGCTCACTGATCAAAAAAGCCGCCGGCACTGTTGGTCGCACACCGCGCTCTGTATCGGTAGTCTGTACCACTCGGTGGAGAGAGGTGGCGCGCGCGTCCGAACCCGACCGCCAGCACCGGCCGACTGAAAATAATAAACAAAATTTTGCTAGGATAATCATGAATGGGTATTTAGGGGACAAAATATACCTGAATAGAGGGATACGACAGGGAGATCCAGTGTCCGGTCATCTTTTTATCTTAGCGGTACTGATATTAGAAAGACAGATAAACAACTCTAGAATGTTAACAGGCATTCGTTTGAACAGAAACACAGAAGGTGTTTTTGACCTGTATGTTTTCACTTGTTTCTGAAATAAAAGTGTCAGCGGAAAAAAAAATATTGAAAAAAACTTTAAACCCCGTTCATATGACAGCCCTTTTAGTTAGGATATTTACCCTAATTAGTCTTATTGTCATGTCAGTTATGGATGTTCCGTAATTTTGTGTTAACCCTCGCCGGCACAGGCCATTTTGCGTCCTTCGACGGCACAAGGGGGCGTCCAGCGCATCCCTGATGGTAGGTACGGGGCAGTTGCTACTGTACAGCGACCCTGAGTAAATTGTCCCAGCACCAGCACCTTCACAGGAAACAACGATAAACTGTCAGAGGGCACTCACAGGAAACCTCAGCTGCTCTTGTACAGGGACCGGCAGTCGATATCAATGTTATCAGTTGTTACTGGACAGGACAGACGGCTGGAGTTGGGGTTCGTATACAGAAGCAACTGCGGGTCCCCGTACGACCCCCCCCCTCGCGTTTCGCCCCTGATCGAGCTAGAGCTTCGCGGAAAAAAACGAGCGTGTTGCCCGTCACGAGAGGAAGCCGATGATACCCAATTTAAGGTCCTAAGTCATCGGATGACCTTCCAGGTCAGGTCAATGACCCGAAAACCGGGAAAATCGGGACCTGTTAGAAAGTCGTAGTGTGGCTGCTATGTGGTTTTCCGGGGTGCTGATCACGAATATCGTGTTAATTTTGACCAGAGATGATGTCTTTAAGCATTTAGACCAGGTCGGGTCAGGTCAGGTCAGGTCAACCGGTAGGGGTTGTGACGGGTATTCGTAATACGTGTCAACCGCCTGACAGCTTCGTAACATGTTACGAAGGCACCAAAACTACTTCTTAAATGTTCAAATGGTTGCTAAATTCGAATTCAGCTCCAAAAACTAGCCTAGAAACATGTAAAACTCGAAAAAGTGAACCGAGGTCACCCGAGGTCACCAAAGGTCAATGACCTGACCTGACCTTCAGGTGACCTTGACACCCACCCTAATGTATGGGAGCAACATCAAATCACATGTTTGAACGTTTGAAACCACGAAAAATTTGCAAACGCGCGGCTAATGCGAGCCGACATACGCCGAATCGCGATTCCGGCCAAACATGGTCTCGGAAAAGAGGTCACAGGTCAAAGGTCATTTGGGTCAGGGTCATGAAATTTTGAGGGTGGGTGTAAAATTGATCAATGCGAGGGTACTGAAAGTTTCGTCGGTATCGGCCGCTTTTTACGCGTTATTCGCGAAAAACCTTAGGGGGGGGATGGGTTGCATCAACCCCCCCCCCCCCCTGTGCCGGCGAGGGTTAATCCTACTATGTTCAAATTGCCCCACCTGTTCAAGTCACCCTTCCCTACCCTGTCGAATGCGCTTTCCGCGGCGCTGTACTCTGTGGGCTTCCGTGGGTACTCTGTGGGCTCTGTACCTATTGGCTTCAGAGTTCAGCGACGATCCGTCAAACATCGTAAACTAGGTAAATTTGAACTTTGATGACCCCTTGTGACTCTGACTTTAGGGCTCAGGAGCAGAGTTGGACGGGGCGTGAATACGCCTCCCCCTCCCCCCAGCACTGCATGGAAAACTCGGACCACCAGCAGGGCTTATGTCCTAAACAGCGCTTCATTTTCTGTCCATTATTTACCGTTGTATTTTCGTCAAAACCTCCAGCTTGAGTCCGACCCAAACCGGATAAAAGCCAATCGCGGATAAAAGCCGACCACGAAGACAGAGGTGTATTGAGAGCCCGGACACCGGCACGGCCGCGTGACGTCATCAGTACACCGCGTGACGTCACCGGAGGCCGACAGGCCCGCACAGCGGCGGCGCCCACGCGCGCACGGGGCCGGTGGGTGTTCACAGAGGAGAGTTTTGATTGCTGGACAGATGACCGATCGGTAAAGTCCGGAGAGGTTTACAGACGCCTGCACAGTCACTGGGGGCTGAGTACAGTGGATTTGGGAGGTGCAGCAGAAAATAGCCCCACAGTGCAGCTGTATCAGCTGCACGGTCCCACACCAGTCCCCGTGCGTCACACTTAGCAATAACTTAACCAGACGCTATCAGATACGGTACGCAATTTCCTAGCCGCGCCGTGGGGTAAACTTAAACAGAATATGGGTATATTTCACTATACATATCACGCCTAAACCAGAACCGCGGACAATAACGATAAAACGCGCCGGCGCGCCGCATTACCACCTGGCGGGCGGGTCGGAATTCTCCCCGCTGTCCCGGCGGGTGCATGTCACCGGTACACGCTGACCGGGGGAGTGGCGGCCATTGACAATTTGACGGCGAACGGGGCGTCATGGATGCCGGGTCAGACCGTCCGCCCCCCCCCCCCCCCGCCCCCGGGGCGACCCTGGGAGGGCAGCCCGGCGGCCCCTGTAAAAATAACGACAACAGAGTCGGCACAGTGGAGCGGTGATTTACCCCCGGGGAGCGGCGACTGAGAGCGCACAGTGGACCGGTGATTTACCGCGGGGAGCGGCGACCGGTCCGCGCCGCAGTCGGACAGAGCAGCCACCACCACCGGCGTCCGGTCGGCTCACCGGCGTCCCGGTCACTGCACCAGCGCTGGCCAGTCGAGTGGCCGCTGATCAGCTCAGCGCTGGCCCAAGCGCTGGACAGTCGGACAGACGGCTCTGCAGCAGCAGCCAGCAGAGGCCGACGGACGGCCCGCCACAGCTGAACACGGCCCTAGTTAGCGGACCGCGGCCCCGTCAACGAGCAGCAGCCTAGTCAGAAGGCAGAGACCCCGGTCAACTAGCTAACCTAGTCAGTCGACCAATATCTCAGTCACCCTACTAGCCTAGTCAGTCGACCAATATCTCAGTCACCCTACTAGCCTAGTCAGTCGACCAATATCTCAGTCAGATTACCAGCCAATCAGAGAACAGGGACCCTGCTGATGAGCCTAGCCAGAATACAAAGGATCTGGTCAACTGATTAGCCTAGTCAATGAACCACGACCATCGCCGCCTCACCAGCCGACTCAGACACCACGACCATCCAGTCCCCGGACCGGCGCCTCTCACCGCGTTCCCAGTCCGCTGACTGACGGCCCCCTGCTGCTCCCTCACACACACTCAGTCCCCTGCCCTCACCAGTCCTAACCCAGCCCGGCGCCGGTCCGCGGGCAGCTGCCGGCCGGCCGCACCTCCGGCTGCTCCGGGCCCGGCTCCGGCCGCTCCGGCCCGGCTCCGGCCCGCGGCAGCTGCCGGCACCTCCGGCCGCTCCGGGCCCGGCTCCGGCCGCTCCGGCCCGGCTCCGGCCGCTCCGGCCCGACTCCGGGGGAGGGAGCGGCCGCTCCGGGGTCTCAGTCGATGTACTGTGCCAGCCAGCGGAACCCCTCGCCGTATCCCTGCCGCTTCAGCACCGAGCACATGAACAACTCCAGCGGCCGGCCGGGCAGGTCGCTGCGCGGGATCTTCATCTGCGGGGACGGGGGGGGGGGCACAGGTCACTGCGGGGTCAGGGTAGGTCACTGCGCGGGATCTTCATCTGGGGGACGGGGGGGGGGGGCACAGGTCACTGCGGAGGTCAGGGTAGGTCACTACAACAGGTCCTTCAGTCTCCCGTCTCCCATCAGATTCTGATGGGAGACGGGAGACAAGTCACTGCGAGGAGACCGGCCAAGTCACTTCAGGGGTCAGGCCAGGTCAGTGCGGGGTAAAACAAAGCATAAGGGTGCCAAAGTTGACCCCTTTCTAGGCATCCATTTAGTATAGGAACATATGCCAGCGTTGGAAGCTGGACAAGTTTGACTGTGTCTGGTTAGTTCAAATGAACACAAGAGCCGAATAAGCGCAAATGCATGGTAGACGATGTAAAGCAAATAAGGGAAGTCGTGCTGCATCACGCCGCAACCTGCGAGGTACGGACATCATGACTACCGCCGTGGTGACACTGGTGGTGACACTGGTACCACCGTGGTGACACTGGTCCCTCAGCTGCCAGTAGCGTGTGACTGGGGGCGGTTCACAGGCTGGACAGAATTCACTGCCGATCTTATACGGCACTCAATAGGCTGAACGGACGACGCATGCAATATCTTCATCTGTATGACAGTGCGACGGCATGAAAATGACGGAATAGCTCTGCCAGTGATGACAATGGTTATGCTGCGGTATCCACTATCCCGCTGCGTTGTATTGCATTTCATGAATGAAGCGCTGCCCATGGGTAGATCAGCGGCTTCTTTCGGTAGGTGGCAGCTCGATCGGACAATACCGATCGACCGCGTTCACATAGGGTCTGTTGCGAGTCCCTAGCTTCACATTAGATGTTGCAAAACATCTCAGCGGCGCTCTAATGACTTAACCAACCAAAATGATTTCATTCAACGATCTGAAAAAAAATGTGTCGAAATAAAGGGACAATAGAATATGAGCTAGAGACCTGCGAAAAAAAATCATTTGTAGCCAGGCATATTAGTACCTATAGCCATCACTGGAAACCGCTACCTATAGTTTACTCTGTTATCCAAAGACTAGGTCCGTACTATTCCTGTGGTCTGTCGGTACTATTCCGGTGGTCTGTCCGTGGTCTGTCCGTACCTTTCCGGTGGTCTGCCCGTGATCTGTCCCTGGTCTGTCCGTGGTCTGTCTGTACTATTCCTGTGGTCTGTCCGTACCTTTCCGGTGGTCTGTCCGTGGTCTGTCCGTACTATTCCGGTGGTCTGTCCGTGGTCTGTCCGTACTATTCCGGTGGTCTGTCCGTACCTTTCCGGTGGTCTGTCCGTACTGTTACAGTGGTCTGTCCGTGGTCTGTCCGTACCTTTCCGGTGGTCTGTCCGTAGTCTATCCGTGGTCTGTCCGTGGTCTGTCGGTACTATTCAAGTGGTCTGTCCGTACCTTTCCGGTGGTCTGTCCGTGGTCTGTCCTGTGGTCTGTCCGTGGTCTGCCGTACCTCTCCACTGGTCTGCCGTACCTTTCCGGTGGTCTGTCCGTACTATTTCTGTGGTCTGTCCGTACCTTTCCGGTGGTCTGTCCGTGGTCTGTCCGTGGTCTGCCGTACCTTTCCGGTGGTCTGTCCGTGGTCTGTCCGTACCTTTCCGGTGGTCTGTCCGTAGTCTATCCGTGGTCTGTCCGTGGTCTGTCGGTACTATTCAAGTGGTCTTTCCGGTGGTCTGTCCGTGGTCTGTCCTGTGGTCTGTCCGTGGTCTGCCGTACCTCTCCACTGGTCTGCCGTACCTTTCCGGTGGTCTGTCCGTACTATTCCGGTGGTCTGTCCGTGGTCTGTCCGTACTATTTCTGTGGTCTGTCCGTACCTTTCCGGTGGTCTGTCCGTGGTCTGTCCGTGGTCTGCCGTACCTTTCCGGTGGTCTGTCCGTGGTCTGCCGTACCTTTCCGGTGGTCTGTCCGTAGAGTCCCAGCACGTTTCGCAGCTCGTCCTCGGAGGTCGCAGACGGTTTGTCGATCTTGTTCCCCAGGATCAGCACCGGGCAGTTGGAGAGCTGCTCGTCCGTCAGCAGCGAGTCCAGCTCCGCCTGGATCCCACCAAAACACCGCGGTCAGCACCAAAACAACTCCGTCAGCACCAAAAACAAATCAGTCGGCACCAGAACACGTCGGTCAGCACCAGAACACCGCAAGTAGCACTAAAAGACGGCAAACGGCACCAAATGTGGCAAAGGAGACAAAAAGTCGGCAAACGGGACCAAACTGTAAGAGAAGCAAAAAAAAAAAAAACACGGATATTGTACCTACTACCTATTACTTGACAGCAAGGCAAAGCATGACACTGGCACCAAATCTCAGAACTGCAAGTAAATGATGAAAGTGAAACATGTATCAAGTCGCCGAAACATCCGTAATTTATGCGTAAAACGTATTAGTGTGATGCGTAACAGATAAAAGATGCATGCAAGGAATGATATACCCAATGAAAAAAAAACTCAGTCACCAAACGTGTCACTAACAAATGAAGGACTTCAACAATCACTAAACGTGTCACTAACTAACAAAGGACTTCAACAGCCCGCAAGTGACGCAAACCCAAACAACGGTTAAGGCCAGACATCAGGTGTCCCGCATTACAAGTTCAGCGGCAGCTACTTGTCCCGAAAACCGGTTGGTGGCACGGCACGATTTTTTGCTCCAAATGAGGCGTGGCTGGATACTGCCGCGCCCGGTGACGCAAATGTCCGTAACACGGCCAGTGTAGGACCGTGATGGAGCAGCACTGGCAACATTGAGGACCACCCGACACCCCTGAACTCAGCACGGGGCCATGCACTGAGTACTGTCAGCAGCCGCATTAGGCAGAAATGCCTACTTCCAGTGCATAGGCGCAGCATCCAACACATGTCGCCTTCAAATGGGTGCACCATTCTCTGATGAAACCGAAATAATTTAATAACGTCTATTTCGTATTTTAGCGTTCACTGCCCATACTCATACCTTCATTGCCTAAAGCCCGCTCATGTGTATCGAACATCAACAAAGCACGCCTATTGCCTAACCCGCGACCGCCTGGGGGGGGTAGGATCCGCCCCCCTCCGTTTTTCTTGAATAACTTATGAACCGCTTCCGCTATCGACTTGAAACTTGGCATACCTTCTCCCCCATCAATTTGACGTCTCCTGTGCAATTTTTAAGAAAAAATTTCCTTTTTTTAGATATATCGATTTTAGTGACGTAACTACATGGCGTTTTTAGTCAAAAAGTGGTAAATGTTTAAAAAATCGCCAAAAATCAGGGTTTAAAGCAAATTGCAAATTAAGGCCATGAATAGACGCAGCTCAACGAGTTCTTAAAAATGGCTATCTCGGATTTTCTATAAAATGCGTTTTTCACCCCTAAAAATTCAAAAAAAAACTATTTTGTTTGGAAAACAGCTAATAAAATAAAATAAAATGAGAATTTCCAAAAAACCAAAATATATGTTATAGAGCTCTATTAGAACATTAGATGTCCCTAATTTCAACTTTCTAGCTTGATTTTTGACCCCCAAATTGTAAAAAATAGCTCCAACATGCATAGGCCATGGTGACGTCATAAGCATTTTCGTGAATTTGAGGCACTTCTGAATATCGCATGTGAAAACAAATGGCACCACTAGATTCCTGGGACAAAGCTCGTCAAGAAAAGTGCATTTTTATGTCAAAAATAAAAAGTTGAAAAATTGACCATTTTTCTTAGCTCTCGTTTAGTTATATTGTGTGGTATAAACGATTTTTTATGCTTTCAATGCACACTTATCACCAGCACAGTGACTTGGGGTCACATATAACTATTACCATCGGATTCGGCGTGAAAAATAAGCCATAAAACATGTGTCGCACGCCCATGTAGCAGAAAGTGAAAACCGTGACCTTTCGTGACCTGACCTGACCTTGACCCGTACTTAGTATGACCCCTATACGCACATTGTACCTTCACTAGGTCTTTGAGGTCATTTTTGGTGAGTTTCGAGCAGCAGCTGTCGATTCCGCTGTCCGTAAGCCTAATCATGCAAAACCCCAGCATTTGACCTTTGACCTGACCTTGACCCGAAAGTTAACCTCAATCTTAAAATCTTAAGAGTGCTTTGGTAAGGTCTCGTAGAGACCTTTCGTACGCCGCCTCGCGGGGCTCGATGCGACCATTGGTTCTCGAGATAACAGGGGGGGAGGGTCGGATCCGACCCCCCCCCCCCCCCCCCAGGCTGTCGTGGGTACGGAAATAGCCCAGGCGGTGCCGGACTAATATTCAACCACAATGTTGGAATTCCCACTAATTCAGCCGACATCCCGCCCCTTCCACTCGACGGGCCACGGTAAAGGAGCATCCGCTGGCAGGATTCGAACCTTGCTCTCGGTGAGCCGCTGGCGTCCCCACCCCGTGTTTAGTGGTAAAGTAGTATCCGCGGCCGGGATTCGAACCTAGCTCTCGGTGAGCCGCTGCACAGTGGCCCTTTTTCAGAATTAGTACGCATAAATTCAAAATATTTTTTTTCTTCTTTTGAGTAACAAGCAGTCTAATCGTGTGCAAAACATTCCAAACTATCCGATGGTGCCATTTTTACCTCCTAAAAAATAATTATCTTTGGTAAAACTGACCGCAAAATCGAAGTTTGTCGAGAGGCGCGCGGACACCACCGGCGGACCCTAAAAAGTAGGGTGAGATGAACATCAATTTGTAAGGCTTTCGGTGAGAAAATATTAAAAATTAGTGGCATGGCTGTGAAGCTGAGTTTACGTAGAAGCCCTAGAAACCACAATTTTCATTGTATAAACTTAAATAGACCACTTTTGCCGAATATTGTGGACACAATAACAGGACAATTATTAACTGGAGATGGCGGCATACATATGAAGCTTTATGTTAAGTAACACACTCTGGGACATATCGTATTATACATCGTTCGAATCGCCGATCTCTTCTGACCATGTCCACCAAAGGGCATCGCGCCATTTTGCGCCATTTTGCTTCTACGGTGAATAACGTGAGCCAGTTCAGTCCGCGAGCGGCTGTGGCTCCTATTCGATACGACTAAGCTCATTGACCTGGCTCGAAGCTGGTGTCACCTGGTGGGCGCCTAAATGTGGCTTGACTTTTGCCATAAGATGTGCTTATTGAAATGTCATATAGGCATAACGCTGTGCTCAAGAAAAACTGTCCGATTTCTTGTCGCGTTTGATGTCCAAGCCGCACAAGTCCCGTGGTCGGCTTAAGATCTAACGTCAAAAGCGCCTATGTGTTTGTATTGTTCGCGTCGCGCTGACCTTAGTTGCTGCCCGGCCGGGGCCGATTAACGGTGGCTGGCAACAGCTGCAGATGCGGTCACGTGACGCCCTGAGGCGTCCTGGCGGTCAGTGCAGCGCGGTCGGCTGGCGGGCTCGCCACACTTGCGTTCGGAGCGGCCTGGGCCGGCGGGCGAGCCGTGCGAACGTGCGCCAAATCTTGGGCCGAGCGGCCTGTCGCTGTTGGGCCGAATCTCCTTGGGCAGTTCGTTTCTTTTCTTGTCTTTGCATTGGCAGGGAATACGTCCTTGATCACGTGGTGATGTCTTGCACCACTTTCAGGTAATGTGGGAATTAATGCGTGCTAATTCTGAAAAAGGGCCACTGTGCGCTGGCGTCCCCACCCCGTGTTTAGTGGTAAAGTAGTATCCGCTGGCGGGATTCGAACCTTGCTCTCGGTGAGCCGCTGGCGTCCCCACCCCGTGTTTAGTGGTAAAGTAGTATCCGCGGCCGGGATTCGAACCTTGCTCTCGGTGAGCCGCTGGCGTCCCCACCCCGTGTTTAGTGGTAAAGTAATATCCGCTGGCGGGATTCGAACCTTGCTCTCTGTGAGCCGCTGGCGTCCCCATCCCGTGTTTAGTGGTAAAGCAGTATCCCCGGGCGGGATTCGAACCTTGCTCTCGGTGAGCCGCTGGCGTCCCCACCCCGTGTTTAGTGGTAAAGTAGTATCCGCGGGCGGGATTCGAACCTTGCTCTCTGTGAGCCGTTGGCGTCCCCATCCCGTGTTTAGTGGTAAAGCAGTATCCCCGGGCGGGATTCGAACCTTGCTCTCTGTGAGCCGCTGGCATCCCTACCCCGTGTTTAGTGGTAAAGTAGTATCCGCGGGCGGGATTCGAACCTTGCTCTCGGTGAGCCGCTGGCGTCCCCACCCCGTGTTTAGTGGTACAGTAGTAGCCGCGGGCGGGATTCGAACCTTGCTCTCGGTGAGCCGCTGCCGGTCGCTGGCGTCCACCAGGAAGACGATCGAGTCCACGGCCGGGAAGTAGTCCTTCCAGACGCGGCGCGCCTGGTGATGGCCGCCCAGGTCGAACGTGGTGAACCGCATGTTACCGATGGAGAGCTCCTCAGACGCTGCCCAACACAGAACACAGAACGTGGTGAACCGCATGTTACCGATGGAGAGCTCCTCAGACGCTGCCCAACACAGAACACGAACGTGGTGAACCGCATGTTACCAATGGAGAGCTCCTCAGACGCTGCCGAACACAGAACACAGAACGTGGTGAACCGCATGTTACCGATGGAGAGCTCCTCAGACGCTGCCGAACACAGAACACAGAACGTGGTGAACCGCATGTTACCGATGGAGAGCTCCTCAGACGCTGCCGAACAAAGAACACGAACGTGGTGAACCGCATGTTACCGATGGAGAGCTCCTCAGACGCTGCCGAGACGGGACACAGAACACATGTTACCGATGGAGAGCTCCTCAGACGCTGCCGAACACAGAACACGAACGTGGTGAACCGCATGTTACCAATGGAGAGCTCCTCAGACGCTGCCAAGACGGGACACAGAGTTACTGAGACACTGCCGAACACGGAACACAGAGTTACAGACACACAGCTCCTCAGACACTGCCGAACACAGAACACAGAGTTACAGACACACAGCTACTCAGAGGCTGGGAACACATAACACAGAGTAAGAGACACACAGCTACTCAGACACTGCGGAGACGGGACACAGAGTTACACAGAATACATGTTACCAATGGAGAGCTCCTCAGACGCTGCCGAGACGGGACACAGAGTTACACAGAATACATGTTACCAATGGAGAGCTCCTCAGACCCTGCCGAGACGGGACACAGAGTTACAGAGACGCTGCGGAGACGGGACACAGAGTTACAGACACACAGCTACTCAGAGGCTGGGGAACACATAACACAGAGTTACAGACACACAGCTACTCAGAAGCTGCCGAACACAGAACACAGAGTAAGAGACACACAGCTACTCAGACACTGCGGAGACGGGACACAGAGTTACACACACACAGCTACTCAGAGGCTGCCGCACACAGAACACAGATAACACGGAACAAAAATGATAGACGAACGCGTTTCGGCTAAATCACCGTCATCAGCGTCTAAAAAGGAGAGCAAGAGGCACACATCGAGCAAATATCACAGTTCAATCGTTTTGATTTTTACATACACTTTAAAACAAGCATGTGACAATGTGGTTACATTCGACAATGTGGTTACATTTTCTAAATGTAACATTGGTTACATTTAAACGCTGATGACGGTGATTTAGCCGAAACGCGTTCGTCTATCATTTTTGTTCCGTGTTATTATACTTGTCTCAAATGAAATACAGAACACAGAGTTACAGACACACAGCTCCTCAGACGCTGGGGAACACATAACACAGAGTTACAGACACACAGCTCCTCAGAGGCTGGGGAACACATAACACAGAGTTACAGACACACAGCTACTCAGAGGCTGGGGAACACATAACACAGAGTTACAGACACACAGCTCCTCAGAGGCTGGGGAACACATAACACAGAGTTACAGACACACAGCTACTCAGAGGCTGGGGAACACATAACACAGAATTACAGACACACAGCTCCTCAGAGGCTGGGGAAACGGGACAGACTGTTGTCAGTAGAGAGCTCTCCTGTGGCTACGGAAACGGGAAACGGGGGTACACTGTTACCAAAGGACAGTTTCTCAAAGGATGTGTACTGATATGCAAACCCCATTAGCAAGTTTCCACCGGCGCACTGCCGCCGGCCCGCCCGAGCAGCCGCCGGCCCGCCCGAGCAGCCGCCGACCCGTCAGAGCAGCCGCCGGCCCGACCCGTCAGAGCAGCCGCCGGCCCGCCAGAGCAGCCGCCGGCCCGCCCACCTTGGCTGGCCTTGGCTCCTGATGTGACTGACGTACTCCGCCCGGCCACTGCTGCGGACGGACGGCGAGTTTATCGGACTATACACCGCAGTGTCGCTGACGGAACAGCGGCTGTACAGTCTGTCTTAAAAGTACCGCGCAAAGTGACGGTGGATCCATCAAGCCTGACTGAGAAAGGGCCTGTTTTAATTTAAAAGTCACCGACCAATTGACCTAGGGAATGGACAAGGATGTCAATTGCTTCGGTGACCCAAATTTAGCAGGCCCTTGCTCAGTCAGGCTCGATGGATCCACCGTCACTTTGCGCGGTACTTTTAAGACAGACTGTACAGCCGCTGTGCCGTCAGCGACACTGCGGTGTACAGCCGCTGTGCCGTCAGCGACACTGCGGTGTACAGCCGCTGTGCCGTCAGCGACACTGCGGTGTACACTGTACAGCCGCTGTGCCGTCAGCGACACTGCGGTGTACAGCCGCTGTGCCGCTGTGCGACACTGCGGTGTACAGCCGCTGTTCCGACAGCGACACTGCGGTGTACAGCCGCTGTGCCGACAGCCACACTGCGGTGTACAGCCGCTGTGCCGTCAGCGACACTGCGGTGTACAGCCGCTGTGCCGTCAGCGACACTGCGGTGTACAGCCGCTGTGCCGACAGCGACACTGCGGTGTACAGCCGCTGTGCCGTCAGCGACACTGCGGTGTGCAGCCGCTGTTCCGTCAGCGACACTGCGGCGTACAGCCGCTGTGCCGTCAGCGACACTGCGGTGTACAGCCGCTGTTCCGTCAGCGACACTGCGGTGTACAGCCGCTGTGCCGTCAGCGACACTGCGGTGTACAGCCGCAGTGCCACACTGCGGTGTACAGCCGCTGTGCCGACAGCGACACTGCGGTGTACAGCCGCTGATCCGTCAGCGACACTGCGGTGTACAGCCGCTGTGCCGTCAGCGACACTGCGGTGTGCAGCCGCTGTTCCGTCAGCGACACTGCGGCGTACAGCCGCTGTGCCGACAGCGACACTGCGGTGTACAGCCGCTGTGCCGTCAGCGACACTGCGGTGTACAGCCGCTGTGCCGTCAGCGACACTGCGGTGTACAGCCGCTGTGCCGTCAGCGACACTGCGGCGTACAGCCGCTGTGCCGACAGCGACACTGCGGTGTACAGCCGCTGTGCCGACAGCGACACTGCGGTGTACAGCCGCTGTGCCGTCAGCGACACTGCGGTGTACAGCCGCTGTGCCGTCAGCGACACTGCGGTGTACAGCCGCTGTGCCGTCAGCGACACTGCGGTGAACAGCCGCTGTGCCGTCAGCGACACTGCGGTGTACAGCCGCTGTGCCGACAGCGACACTGCGGCGTACAGCCGCTGTTCCGTCAGCGACACTGCGGTGTACAGCCGCTGTGCCGACAGCGACACTGCGGTGTACAGCCGCTGTGCCGACAGCGACACTGCGGTGTACAGCCGCTGTGCGACACTGCGGTGTATAGCCGCTGTGCCGTCAGCGACACTGCGGTGTACAGCCGCTGTGCCGTCAGCGACACTGCGGTGTACAGCCGCTGTGCCGACAGCGACACTGCGGTGTACAGCCGCTGTGCCGTCAGCGACACTGCGGTGTACAGCCGCTGTGCCGTCAGCCACACTGCGGTGTACAGCCGCTGTGCCGACAGCCACACTGCGGTGTACAGCCGCTGTGCCGTCAGCCACACTGCGGTGTACAGCCGCTGTGCCGACAGCGACACTGCGGTGTACAGCCGCTGTGCCGACAGCGACACTGCGGTGTACAGCCGCTGTGCCGTCAGCGACACTGCAGTGTACAGCCGCTGTGCCGTCAGCGACACTGCGGTGTACAGCCGCTGTGCCGTCAGCGACACTGCGGTGTACAGCCGCTGTGCCGACAGCGACACTGCGGTGTACAGCCGCTGTGCCGTCAGCGACACTGCGGTGTACAGCCGCTGTGCCGACAGCGACACTGCGGTGAGCAGCCGCTGTGCCGTCAGCGACACTGCGGTGTACAGCCGCTGTGCCGTCAGCGACACTGCGGTGTACAGCCGCTGTGCCGTCAGCGACACTGCGGTGTACAGTCGCTGTTCCGACAGCGACACTGCGGTGTACAGCCGCTGTGCCGTCAGCGACACTGCGGTGTACAGCCGCTGTGCCGACAGCGACACTGCGGTGTACAGCCGCTGTGCCGTCAGCGACACTGCGGTGTACAGCCGCTGTGCCGACAGCGACACTGCGGTGTACAGCCGCTGTGCCGACAGCGACACTGCGGTGTACAGCCGCTGTGCCGTCAGCGACACTGCGGTGTAAAGTCCAATAAACTCGCCGTCCGTCCGCGGCAGTTGCCGGGCGGAGTACGTCACTCGCATCAGGAGCCAAGGCCAGCGGGGCACCGTCCATATCTACAGTCGGCCCGGCGAGGATGACTCGGCGAACCGCGCGGCCGGCGCCGACGGAGACTATCAGAGGGAAATCACGGGACACTAATGCCTCCGACCGCCCACAGTGAACACACGCGTCTGTGAAAACGAACCAAACCCGCAAAATCAGGCGTCCAGTTTGGCAAACTGATTCACTAAACGTTCCTACTGTCATGCTACAAACTGATCACCGAGCCAATCATATTGTCAGCTCTATAACGTCACGCCAAATTCAAAATGAGTTCTCAGACATATACATAAATGGCATCAGTTTAACACCAGTCAAACATTCACTTTCATTATATAATGAGCACCACAACTCCCGAAGTCTAAATGCACCAAATGTGACCCAGGCAAAGCATTTAACCGGGACCTCCAGGGCACCTAACGCCGATACTCTTTTAAACCCATCTGAATACAAGTGTGTAAAAAAAAACGACAATTTGCTACCTTTTCCATGGGACTAGAATTAGATGCATGTGCGTTGGTACATCAGCACAATTACTGATCCCAACCAGTAGCATGGTAAGAAGTCATAATAAATGCATTTTTGAAACTATATTGAACACAAAGATCGCTTGGAAATTATTAAACTATCCTACAAAGCTGTTCAAACAGTATCAAAGGACTTGCCCTGGGCCCTTCCCTAAGTAATCTTGCATGGCTCGCCAATCAGGATGATTTGCTTTGGGCAGACCTGGGAACTAATGATACGGTAGCTCACCAAGCTAGTCATGTTAGCTCACCGAGCTAGTGTCCCTATGTGACTCACGGCACTCACTGGGTGTTCTTTG